TTTGTGGTAGTTATTAATCTATCATCTTTAACTGTGTGAATTAAATCAAAATCAAGGACCAACCCAACATATGTTTATAGTGAATAAACTCTTCAATAAAGCAACTTTACCATTTGAAATGTTTAGTTAGAAGGAGTTTCAGAGGGAGGTATAGGTAAGTAGACGGATAGGGGAAGGTTAGCAGTGAGACCAGAGGACACAGGTGAGAGAAAGAAAGAGAAGAAATGAAAACTAAAGAAGAAATATGAACCAGGGCCAGAACAGGAACACAAAGGGAAATGAAGAACAATGTGGGACAGCAAGGGAGTGAGGGAGAGAGAGAGAGAAAGAAAACAGAAAAGAAAGAAAAAAGAGAAAAATAAAAAATTTGAGTAGAAAAAGAAGGAAAAATATTAAAAATAAGAGCAAAAAAATAGTGGTAATTTTGAAAATAACAAATACATGATAAAAATGAAGAGCCCTTTCACTGTATGTCTCTGCTGTCACAATAGACAACATGGGCAGCAGTGTGCAGTTATAAGTCAATGAGTCTCAGTTAGCCAGTCACAGACCCATGAGATTCAGGCAGATTTCTGGCTGCAAGTCCCAAGTTGAGCTCCTTGTCCTCCTGAAGACTTGAACTGTGCAAGTTTCTATTGCAAGTTCCAGCTGCCTTTCCCCTGAAGATAGTCCAGGTTCCGATGGGAGGTGATGATCCCTCCAACTCACCAAGTATGGTGGTCTGGTGTGCCTTTATTGCAGAGATTCTCTTCACTCTTCCACTGGGTTTCAGTTATCATCAGGGAGCCTGAGAGAGGTCCACTCTCTGTTGTTCACTTCTGAAGCTCAAGACAATGACCTTTGTGTCCCCCTGTGCCTCTGTAGTGTGGAACCAAGTAGCTGCACAGCAAAAAGGCCAGAGGTGGGGGGACAGGGGGCTCTGTTGTTGCAGGTGCCCGTGCTGCTCCATGGGTGGCTGTTCTCTCTGGGAGGCTGTCTCACATGAGGGGAAAGGTCACCCAGTATTTCTAAAACAGGACAGGTTAACACAGATGGGGTCTTTGCGATAGCCTACACAGAGCACAAGAACAACATATTTTACAGTTCGTGGACAGATGTGCTACAGTAATTATTCATTCCATGTTATGTTTGACAGCTCCTTCTACTTCATATATAATGACCAAGGGATAATATTCATAGTTTATAATTCTACATAAATAATTATAAATGACCAATATTTTAAGTTACTAGAAAACAAATTCATGAACATATTAAAGAGTGGCACAGATCATTGTTTATGAAAACATCCAAATTAAATACAGTGAAATACTGCATAAGGAGTAGTCATGTGGTCTGATAATACTTCGTGCTGTAGTGAAGGAAGTAGATCATAAGGATAAAAGTTTCAAACTTTGTTATTAGACATGTAAATTAATGAAAGAATTCTGAGAAATTGAGAGCTAAATATATGCACAATACTCCTACATGTAAACCCCTTTGTAATGAGTAACTATGTGCTCTGCAACAATACTTACACTTACATGATGAAATATTAAAGAGGAACAACATTAAAGTCACTGAAATATATGCAGCAACTTCAATACCATGTAAAGACATTGGTAAGTTATGAAGTGTGATACATGAAATAAACACTACAAATATTAGTTTGCATTAGTTTGTCAATAAGAAATAACAGGTAGTTCATACTTTTTTCTTCTGTTACCTTTATCCAGTTTTAGAATTAGCACCATGTTGAGTTCCTAAAATGAGGGGAGAAGTGTTCCTTTTCCTGCTTTAATTGTTTGATATAATTTATCAGTTAAAATGTATATGAGCCTATCATTGTCATATAGGTAGGTTATCAAGCTAGGAATATACTTTCTTTAATAGGTGCTATTCAAATTTTATATTGCCTCCAGAGTTAGTTTCATTAATTTGTCTTCCAAGGTACTTCTTAGAAGTTATCAAATTTATTTCAAAAAAGAATTTTGTAATATGCTTTCTATATCCTTTTAATTTCTGTAAAATCTGTGGTAATGTCTCCTAGATATTGATATTGTAATTTTTAAAATGTATAATTGATATTGTTTAATAGGAAGAAAGGTCTAAAGGAGCAGGGGAAGTGGGAGAGGTAGGGGAAAGGAAAAAAGGGAAAAGAAAAAATATGAGAAAAGGAAAAAAATGGAAACAAAGTCTTTGCAAATAGGAAAGGGTGGAGGGGGTGAAGGGAGGGGAGGGGAAGGGGGAAAAAAATAAGAACCAAGATACTCATGTAATGGTACAAGATCCCAATGATGAATGTAACTGTTTTTTATAACTAAAATGTACCAATAAAGTTAGTGGAAAAAAAAAAGAAAAGAAATAACTGGTATCCAGTGACAGATATCTTAGGTAGCAAAATCTAGAGAAAAAAAGTGCCTTAATATGATAAAAGTCTTCTTTGGGTTATTGAGAGTGGGAGGAAAGTAGTACAGACTTTTCAGGGTGGTCATTTCCTATCGATGTATTTGACACTTACATGTTCATTTAACAAGTATTTTAAAATATATTTGGAACTTTAACTGATATGTCAGAAATTCAGGCTACTCCACATTTTTCAAAGAGATTTATTTTAATACTTGGGGAGAGAAATAATCAGATAATACATTTCTAAAAAATGGATGATCTATGATAAATTACATATAGAAGTTTAGGGAAAATGGGAAAGTTGGTTTCTATTACCGACTAAAACCTACTTAATTATATGGCTCATCAATCAGGAATCAAAACACCAAGAGATAGCCGATTTTGGAGATGTAAACTAGGAGTTAATGATATGTCTGTTAGAAGCTAGTGATGATTCACGTTTCTTTTTTGTGAAAGCAACTAGAGAATGTCAGTTACTGATAAGGAGTCCAGAAGCTCACCGGGATACTGTGTAATAAAAAATGAAATTGACAACTATGGTCTTGTGTCAGTCAGTAATTAGCTTACGTACTAAGGCAAGTGAACAGAACTTTATCAACACCCATTATGGAAATATAAGAAAAATGAGCTAAGATAGTAGCTAATATTTTCAAATTTGGTTTGCTTAAATTCAGACCAAGTTTTCGTGATACAAACCCAAGGTCCTTGTTCTACTTGAAATTGAGTATTAAGGCAAAACAAAAGATGTGCTGAGCTATGGAGCCTCGAGTATGAATCCAGCAAAAGCAGCTGTCGTCTGTGTTTGCTGAACTTTCATTAAGCTCAACTTAAAGTAAAGCCATAACATAGGAAATGAGTTGCTGCATCCACATCTCTTCACTGTCGCTTCCACAGTGTCCAGTGAGGAAATGTTCAAATGTACAGCAACACCTTGGTTTGTGAGCATAGTTCATTCTGGGAACATGCTTGTAATCGAAAGGAAATCTAATATCAAAGCAAATTTCCCAGTAAGAAATAATGAAAACTTGGATGATTTGTTACACAATGCAAAAATATTCATATAAAGTGATTATGATATAGTAATACAATACAAAATGATACAGAAAATATAAAGAAAAATAAACAAATTAACCTGCATTTACCTTTGAAACCCTTCGTGGCTGGTATGAGGAAGACAGGAAGAGGAATGTGATTGTGTAGGATGACTTCCACTATCACTAAGGGAATCACTGCATTCCATTGGCTCAGTGGAATCTGTTTCTTTTTGTGTAACTTTAACAAGGACTCTATTCAATGATACTTGCTTTTGCCTCCTTTTGAGGATTTCACAGAAATGTGGCATTGCGTTGTCATTAAATTCATCACTCACATTCCTACCGCCTTATTCAGGTGGTGCATTTCTGCAAAATTTTGCACTCTTTCCCACATTGTACACATCTCCCTAGTCTCATTTGAAGTGAAGGATCCCTCCACCTTTTTCTCCTCCTCTTCTGCAGATGAGACCCTCCATAACCTCTTGCCTTTGGGAGAGGATTACCCACAATTCCTAGGACAGATTGGCTCAGTTGTGATCATGCAATGTTCGGCATCAGGTACTGTTCATAGTACAAGACATCATTTGTTTATCAAGTTAAATTTATTGGAAATGTTTGCTCATCTTGTGGAACATTTGCTGCACAAGTTATTCACAATGCAAGGTTTTACTGTAATTCATTCTAAAATTCAGATAAAATGGATGAGTGCAATATATTTGTATCAAATCATAGGAAATGATAAACACCATTCTAAACATAGCATTTTCAATAGCTTAATTGATTACAGTACAACAATAAATTCATTTAAAGCTAAAGTATCAACAGTAATGTACATGAAAATATGAGATGTAATTAAGACATAAATAAACAATTATTTGTTTGCATTATGTGGATTGACAATGCAGTTTGGGATTTATTAGCCTCCTGATCGTGTCTTTAACATCCTTGTTCCTGAGGCTGTAGATGAGGGGATTCAGCATGGGAACCACTACTGTATAAAGCACAGTGGCCACTTTGACCAGCAGCCAGGAGCCCTTGGAGCTGGGCACACAGTAGAGGAGAAGGAGGATGCCATGGAAGATGCTGATGGCCATTAGGTGGGAGGTGCAGGTGGAGAAGGCTTTTTGGAGTCCACCCTTGAAGGGCATCCTGACGATAGTCACCACGATGACCACATAGGAGGCAAGGGTGATCAGGAGGCTGCAGGCCTCACTCAGTATAGAAATTATTAAACATATCATCTGGCTGAAGGAGGGGTCGGAGCAGGACACATCCAGGACAGCAGAGTACTCACAACCAAAGTGGTTGATGATGCTGGACTCGCAGTAGGACAACTGCACAAGAGAATACGTGATTGTCAAGGAACAGAGTACACCCCACATGTAAGTTCCTGCCACCAGGACAGCACAGAGCTTAGGAGGCATGGCCACTGTGTAGAGCAGGGGGTTACAGACAGCCATGAACCGGTCATAGGCCATCACTGCCAACATGAACATCTCCGTGAACACACAGGCACAGCCAAAGAAAAACTGTGCCATGCACCCTCTGAAAGAGATTGTTCTTTCCTCCACGACCAGGATCTCTAAGAGTTTGGGGGTAAACACACTCGAATAACAAATATCCAAAAAGGAAAGATGGCTGAGGAAAAAGTACATGGGCGTGTGAAGTTTGGGATTGAGTTTCCGGACCACAATTATGCCCAAGTTCCCCAGCAGAGTGACTGTGTAGATGGCCAGGAACACCAGGAAGAGGGCCACCTGGAGCTGGGGGTAATCTGAGAACCCCACCAGGACGAACGAGGTCACATAGCTCCGATTTCCCAAGTGAAGCAGCATGATGCTTAATTAGGAAATGCAGATAAAAGTAGAAGGAAACTTGGGCAGCAGAACTTGAGCAAATGAGTTGGCTGAAGCTGGGCAGAGGCTCAGTGTAAACCAGTGAAGACAAGTGTGGTCAGCTGGCATCCACGGAGGCTCTGGATCACTTTGGGGTATTATTTGGCCACTTTTCGACTTGTCGCTCTGGGCAATTAGCTTTGTCCTTCAACAATTTATTGATCTTATCTATCCATAAAAAGAATATTATACACATTATTATTTTATATAAATCAATAATAAATGTTACCACTATTGAGAATAACCAGAGTAAATCATGTTTTGAAGAAATCAAAGGCGGCAGAGCAAACTCAAACATATATTAAGCATGGTGGCCATGTGATTATGGATGTGGAGTCTTTGAAAAGATCAAATATTTTAGCGCATAAATAAAAATGTGGTACAAAATTGTGAGGGAGAAGCAAAATATCTTGTCAGATATTCCCAGGTCTGTAGTGATATACTGAATTTTCACCCTTTCTAGGCATATCCTATTACAAGGAACTCAAAAAACATCTACTTCAGAGGAACTTTAGGTGATTTGATCAATAGTTCTATTAATATTGATATTACTTCAATTTTATATCTACTGCATGGTTACTGGTAGGCCTTAAACAATAAAATCTAATGATCTCCTGATAAACTAGTCCAGAGATATCCTTAGAAGTCTAATATTGATTACTGTTGGTTATGAAGTTGGTTTGCAGTACATATCATATTGAAAAGAAACAACAACTTACAAACTCTATAAACAGAGTAGTATAAGTAATATCTCTTATAAGAGAACCAAAATCCTTTCATGTTACAAGCCTAAGTGCGGACATCAAGGAAGTACGACAGAACATGTAAGACTGAACTACATGAAGTGCTTGTTTTTGCATGCCACCAGGAGTCTGATTATTAGATATTGCATATGGTGAATTCTGAATGAAAAACTGATTTTGCAAGCGGTTGTGAAGACCCAATAAACATCTTGAGCACATCTGAGAACTGACACCCTCATGGCCTTGTCTGTAGCCATTGAGTCTGCTATGAATGAAATCTGCCACTACCATTCCTAGGTAAAGAGCACCAGCTACTCCACCACACGGTCCAGTGCATAGACGAGTCGGTGGACCTCTGTGAATGTTATCTCTTAATCAATGTGTCCCTAAAGAAGTCTTCCTTTTATATTCAGGAACTTAGATTGTTTTCATTGGGTTGAGAATTTTGACAAAAACCTGGGTCTATCTACTGTAAGAGAGTCTGATGAGACCAAGGTATCAGTAAGGCTCTGCTAGTTGACATAGAGACAGAATTCCTGAATGGTTAGATTATACACTGTCTAATGGTAACAAAGTAACCATTCTAAGAGTCTCTAATCCAATCACCAAAGAATAATCGACACAGTTTGAAAGCAACAAATTTTTGAATAGTTTTACAGGCTTGATGTTCAGTCTTGATTGCCAAAATGTATACTGTCCATTCCAGACATTAAAGTTCCTGTCCTCACACCAGGAAGTTCTCCTTCAAATGTGGTTTTTGAAAGAAACCACAGGACTAATCACAGTCAATTCTGTATTTTAATATTTATCTTTGTTGTTCTACAAATAATGAATTTCCTTGTAAGTTTAGGTTCCAGTAGGCATATTTCAATTTTGGAAGTTGTTGTTTTTTAAGCATTCTTTACTTTCACAGTACAGAAAATCAAATATTTCAGATACTTGGCTTGGCCTTGTGCTTTTTCTTAGGTAAAATCATGACTATATTTGCTTGTTTGTTCTGTCATTTGCCTCTTTCAATGGTTAGAAATTGTCCTGGAGAGCTACTTCTTAGGACAACATTCTTGACACAGTATTAATCTTTCTGAGCTGATAAAGTACCAAGAACCAGGCTCAGTATCCCAAGAAAATCTTCCGGCTCAGAAAGAATGAACTCAGTTCACTACTATTACTCATTTCTGGCTTCGAGCCTGGACTTAGCTTATGAATTTAACTCAATTCACTACCATGCCAAAATTTGTTCCTTGATTGCTACTAAGCCATGCCCTTTATGCTTATATGCTTACAATTTTTGGACCAAGTTATAGATTGCGCATTTATTATTACATGTTTTACCCTGCCTGATTCTCTCATTCCCATTGCTGATTGAGTGCCCTTTCATCCTAATAGCATAGAATGGACCAACTACATTTCTTGACTTCTACAGGCTCTCTGCCTAGAATCCTTTGCTATAATTTCATTTGCCTTTAAAATCACTGATAGTTATGGTGATTCTAGTTTTATGTGCTATTATGATTTGGGGATTTTGCTGATCCTTTATTAAATTTTCTTTCACCTGGCCTTTGGAAGGCTACTCACAATGTGGTTAGAGCGTGATTTTAATTTAATGTACAAAGAGCCATCAAAACATGAAAGAGTTCAAATAATTTTTAAATGACCCCCTTGATTCATTTCTCAATTTGGAAAGTGAGGTCCCCACTGCATATTTAATACTTTACAAATAGAATAGCTACTCAAGAGTGAAAAGAGTACAATAATTGCTAAACTGATGTCACGGTGATAATTTTATACAAACAGTCATGGTGTAATTTGGAGCTATTTAAGCAGTATGCCGTGGGGGATTCTGAATCACTGTGCTTATGTTTACAGCATTAGACAAAAAGCGGTCCTATGGTTTTCATTCTGCAGTGCTTTTAGTCTTACCTGAATTAATTTTCATTTTTGGTTTCTAAATTGCCTTGACTTCACTATGCAGTGATATATTTTCTTAATTTTCCCAATGATATAACATTACAATCTTATTCCTTGTGATTTTTATTTTATAATCTCAAATTGTGACTATCGTAAAGTCAGAAAAAATGAAAAACAAAAAAAATTCCAAATATCCCTTCTCCTTGCTTCCCTGTGTCCCCAGTCAGCAGTTAGACACAGCTGTCCTTGGTAGCCACCCCAGGACACTCTGGCCTAACACAAAAACGCACGTGCTGGGGCAGCACTCTGGTATAAACGCTTGAAATTGCAAAGTACTCTATGTAGGTTTCTCTAGTGTCACTCAGGAAGTGTATAAAATATTTTGTCACCAATATAATGTCCAATTAATATCATTGTTCAAAAATTTTGTTCTACAAAACATTATTTTTTCTAGTCTACTAGGATAATGCCATTTCTCCTTTAGTGTTTTCTATTATACCCTTTTGAAATGGTAAGTCTCTTATGTAGCTCTTTCAAAAACAAGTTGCCAGACATTCCAAATACCACTATTTTTAGCTAGGCTGTTTTTCTTGCACTTACATTATTGCCATCTTTACAAAGGCTTGCATATTTTTTATTTTACTTCTTTTTCATATCTGTGTTTTTACCCTATTTATCACAAATTGATTAAATATAAGAGGTCAAAACTTCACATTGAATATTTCTTTGAAAATCCCTACATACGTAAGTATATTTAACATGGCAATTAAATGTATACCTTTAAATTCAGTAAAATGACCTTAAAATCAGAACTTGTCACATTTAAAAATTACTGTTAGCCAAATTAAGTTGTTATCAGTATTACTCTCCTCCAGCTCACCTACATTTATTCCTCTCAATATGTTTTCCAGATTTCAGTATACATCATATGAGAATAAAATATGCTAAACATTGCAGGTACTCACCAAAAGCCAGATTTACCTGTTACACATTTTAAATTCATTACTTCCTTGCAATGATTAATCAACCACATGTACATTTTCCCTCAAACTTAAAGTTTTCTTACAAATTTTACCATTCCTTTAAAGACAGTGGGGGACTCTCATGAAGTAGAACGGAAAGAAGAAGGCAACTAAAATGTTTCATATCATCAAAATTTTGGAAGGAAGTTTGAGATGCCTTTGTGGAAGATTCAGACATTGACACTGTATTTATGACCATGTTGTTTGTTTCACATCTAAGTGCTTGACTTTGGGGAACTAGACTCTGGAGAATTGACATTTGTTGTCATAAGCTATGAAACAAAACATCAGAGGAAATGTTTTCCTGTTACTTGAAATGGAATTTCTTCTAAACCAATAGTGTACGGATAGTCAGGTCTTAAGGAAACACCAAAAAGCCAACCTGCCTCTGTGCAGAGATTGTACTTCTGGAAGTCGTGGAGCCAAAATACAGCAACGAAGACACGGCCCTGTCCATTCCTGTAACCTGCACATAACAGAATCGGGGCTGACAAACACCAGCTAACACTCTCCTTCTTTTAGAGATTGTTTAGTAGGGTATCTAGGCAAAAACTAAAGGGACAAAGACAGCTGAGACCCACATGGGTACAGTGTCCCTGTGCATAGACCAGGGCATCTGCCACTCACCAGGTGGCCCTGACCCCAGGACCTCACGAGACCTCCCCAAGAAACGACCCAGACAGAGTGAGCAGGTTCTCTCACACTCAGGGAGAAACGTGAACCACAGCCTGTGGGCTCGCCCAGTGGGTCCGACACGGCTGAGAGGACGGGAACCAATCCCGACAGCTTCCCGTTGTCCACCATCCCGGTGGCCTCTGCCACTAAACAGAAGGTCTTAGCTGGGGGAGATTTCTGACTCTACCTATGTTGTAGTGTCTGTCTGAGTTCCAGTTTCTCTCTTTCCAGTTTCCCTCCATCCAGACTATTTTCTAGCACCTGTGTTTTATTTACTTTCCTTTTTAAATTCTTCACTGTTTTTCATACTCAGGTCCTGCTATCTAGCATGCTGGCCTTGAACCCACTGCATAACCCAGGCTGGCCTCAGACTTCTGATCTTCCGGCCTCAGCCTACTGAGTGTTGAGATTACAAGCATGAACCACCACCCTGGCACTATTTTCCATACTTTTAATCAACTTTGTGCTGCCATTCTTTGCCTATTCAATTGATTATCTTAATCCCTCTTTTCTGTTTCCCCCTTTTCTGTTATTTTACAACTACCTTCTTACTATTTTCTCTTTTCCTTCCTCTTTTTTACATCACTTCTGC